ACAAATTAAACAGCCTATAATTTTCTTTTCTTATATTGATCTTATTTAGTTTTAAAATCAAGATTACATCAGTCTTTTATTTGCAAACTTCTTGTAATTTTTCTGTTTTAACTATAACAAACATTGTTGGATCTTTTTAACAATTTAAATTCAATCTAAGAATCTGTGTCTTTTAAATGGTGAGTTTAATCTTCTTATATTCATTATAGGTACTGTATTATTAGAACTTACTGTCACCTTATTTCTATTTTCCATTCACTGTATTTTCTTAACACCCTCTTCCTGTTTTCCATAAAAAGAGCCAGTTTTCTTTAGCTGGTTGTAAAATGAAACATTCTATTTCTTTTCTTATAGTAAGAACGAAAGTAGTGTTTGCCCCTGACTTCAGATTCACACTTGTGTTTATTTTTCCTATCTATTTCTTAAATTTAACGAAAGCTACATTTTCCCCTTTATAAAACAAAAACATTAGTGCATTTAAACTTCCCTTTAATCTCTTCCAGGGCCACATATCACAAAATTAAATACAATATAATGTGAATAGTGCATTCTGGACTTGTGCCATCATGTTGATATTTTAAAATATTTTGTTCTGGGTTGTTACAGATGAATTTTCTCTTTTTCCCAGTTTTAAGAAAATCCCTACAATAAACTTCACCCAGGTATTTGATCACCTTTTGCTCGGATATTTCTTGTACCATCCTTCTGGGAAGCTCTTTTCATTTGAGTGCTTCTTCCAAGAGCAATTTTAATGTGAGATCTTGTAGGTCTGAAGATATTTTTGTTATGCTCCAATATATGAATGACAGTTTGGCTGGCTTAAAATGATAGATTCAATGTTCTTTTTCTTCAGTACTTTACAAATATTTCTTCATTGTCTGTTCACATCCAGTTTTGCTGTGAAGAAGTGTACTGTCAATGTGATTCTCGTTCCTTATTTGTTAATGTACTCTTTTTCTCAGTAAACTTTTAGAATTTTCTTTGTATTAGTCGTTTTTAAATTAAAAAAAAATTTTTTTATTGGTTATGAATATTCATGAGATACAAAGCTGATTGTCATCACTCGTGCCCAAGATGTGATGGCCAGATCCATACTGGTAGCATGCCCATTACCACAAATTGCAATTATATTTCATGTCCCCCCTCCCAATTATACCCGACTTCCTTCCCCATCCCTCTTTACCACACTCCACTTTATATCCCTGGGTATGCTCTCTCCCTCTGCAAGTCCAACACACCACTGTGGTCTTTCCTTCCTTCTTTCTCTCTTAGCTCTCATTTATGAGTGAGTACATGTGGTATTTATCCCTCTGTGCTTTTCTTTTCACTCAACATAAGCTTATCCAAGCTCATCCATGTTGTTGCAAATGGGAGAATTTCATTCCTTTTTATGGCAGGGTAGTATTCCATGGTGTATATATGCCACATTTTCATTATTCCATCATCCATTGATGGACATTTAGGTTGGTTCCATATCCTGGTTATTGTAAACAGAGCTGCAATGAACATGGGAGAGCAGGTATCCCCTCGATGATTTCCATTCCTTTGGGTATATACTCAGAAGTGGGATTGCTGGATCGTATGGAAGATCTATCTGTAGTTGTCTGAGAAACCTCCATACTGTTTTCCATAGTGGTTGTACTAATTTACAGTCCCACCAACAGTGCAGGAGCATTCTCTCCACACCCTTGTCAACATTTGTTATTCTCCATCTTTTTGATTATAGCCAGTCTAACTGGGGAGAGATGATACCTCAATGTGGTTACCGGTCAGTAAAAAAGACAAAAAGGAAAAAAAAAAAAAAAAAGAAGGGGCCTTTCATGGATTAGTGATGATAAAGTGCCGTAAGTGAAGAAGATGATTAAAGTCCAAATGAAAAGAAAATATAAAACCTAGCAGAGGTGATGGCATGTAATGAGCACTCAGTAGATGTTTGTTGAATGAAGGAAGACACGGTGAATCTTTTTGCAAAGCTAAAGTCTTTTGCAATATCAATCAGTGCTCTTTAATGGATTATTTTAGGAGTTCTTATTTTGGCATATCAATTCCTTTGAAAATGTGAGCACACCTGTATTGGGAGTCATCTAGACTGTGTTAACATAATTTTCCTCTTTTCTTTCACTTCTTGAAGTATTGCATAAACATGGATACCATGTCCTCTTTTGAACTAAGCCATGCAGTGTGATTGTTGTTTCTGAGTCATAGAAAATGTTTTCCAGCAAATATTTGCCATTTTGATCAAGTCTGGGTTCCAAAACAGCTGCCTATATGTGGTCATTTATATCCAGGGTCTTTGCTGGAAGCACTGAGCTGGAATCTGCCTCCTGAACTTCGAGGCCATCAGAGGTGGCAGGGTTTATCACTGGCCATGGTGATGGGCTTGCCTACTGACATTTTTTTTTCTCTACTGCTGTACAAGATCTGATTTTTCAGAGCACCTCTGGGTTTCTTCTCTTTCTCCTTTCTTTCCAGAGGACAGGGATTTATCCCAGAGGGTATAAACATCTATTGGTCTGCTCCAGGTTTTAATAATAATAGTGAGCGTATATTACTACTTGTAAACATGGCTGACATTTGTCTTTTGCTGATTACAACTTAATGAATATCTTTTAGTAGAATTATTTAGAAATCTAGCCCTAGTCAGATGAACTTGGGTCTGACACGAGCTTATCACTTAATAGCCCTGTGACGTGGGGCAAGTTAAATTTCCTATTGTTTCTTTGAACAATACAGATAGAAGTTTCCTCACAGAGTTGTGGTGACTACATCAGATGGTGTACTTAAGGCTGAACATGGAGCCTGGTGCATAGTAAGTAACTGTTGTTATTACTTCATGGAAATCATTATGCTAGGCCTGTGGGGAGAAACAGAAATGAATGAGAAAGCATACTTAATTTCACAGAGTTAGAGAGAACAAGACAGAAAATCAAAATACACTGTGGGAGAGGACCAGCAGGGTCAGGTATCCTCCTAAAGAAGCAGTGAGATATTGGGAAAACTGCTTCTTCACTTTATAATCAAGGAACTGAGACTAGAAGAGTTACATGACTTGTTTAAGGGGACACAGCCAGAGTGGCAGAGCCTTGACAGTAGCCCAACTCTCGTATGACTGAGACAGTTCTGATGGATGTGCCACTGTTTCCAGTGGAAACTTCTCAGTGAGGCCCACGGCCTTGTGATGCTGTTACCTGCTGGGCCAGTCTGGGGGGCTGCAGCAGCCCATAGCACGTACCACGACATGGTCCTCCACTGTCCTGAGGTCCAGAGGCTTTTAGGTGAGGGGTCATAACTCAGTGAGGAGACAGCCTGCTCTGTCTTTTGAGTGAGTTGTTTATGTGGACAACATTTCTCCTCAAGACCTGCCCTCAAATCAACAATGCATTAGACTCAGTGGTTCATAACTTCATCAAATGAACTTTTTCTGGGGGTCAGTATGCTCCAGATCCTGAGTGAAGTGCTGGTTTATGTGGACAACATTTCTCCTCAAGACCTGCCCTCAAATCAACAATGCATTAGACTCAGTTGTTCATAACTTCATCAAATGAACTTTTTCTGGGGGTCAGTATGCTCCAGATCCTGAGTGAAGTGCTGAGGAGACAGAGATGAAATCTCCTTGAGGAACCTACAGATTCGTGCAACAATTTGCTATCCTTTGTAGTGAACAAAGTGCTCCAAGAGCTGAGAAAAGAGGAATGAATATTTTCTGGACTAGGTGGTGTGGTGAGTCAGAACATTTTTCATCAAAAAAGGTGCTATTTGAGCTGGATCTTGAGAAATGGAGAGGTGATTTTCAGGTGGAGAAGCAGGGAGAGGAACCCAGCAGGAGAGGACAGCAAGGTCAAAGGCAGGGAGCTGCATGGATGTTCAGTGGTGCCTGGAGGGCCTTGGGGACCAGGGGTAGGGGGCAGAGGGAAATGAGGTGGGAAAAGAAATCAGGGGCCTCATTAGGAGGGGCCTTCTATGCCCCAGCTCTGTGGCTGAAGGGAGGAGATGAAGGCTTTAAGTTGGAGAATGGCGTGATCAGATGTAGGCTGTGCAAGATCCCTCCAAGGCAATGTGGAGGAAGGCAGAGTACCAGGGCCCCAGACCTGCCCTCGGGTGCCTGAGCCAGGCGGTCTTGACCCCACACTGATTGGGTCCCTGGACTTCAGATGCAAAGTAAAGGCATCAGACTGGGAAAGAGCCTGTAGCCTAATATCCCAAACACTACCAGATGGTGAGCCCATCATTCCTTTTCCTTTGAGAAGCTTCCTGTTAATCAGATGGGTGGGCACTAGGAGAGAGGCCCTGTTTGTTCTGTGCCTACAAGAAGCCAGCTTCAGTTAAGGAGCACGGCGTCTTCTCCTTCCTTCCTGAGTGAGTTGGCCTCTTTCTCCGTGGGCTTATGGGACATCAGAACCATTGCCCCCTACAGTTAAGACTTGCCATTCTGGAGGTGTCTCGGGGCAAAGGGAGGGACTATTGTGTTTCAAAATGGAATAAACAGAAAAGCAATATTAAAAGAATGAGGAGTTGTTTAGTGAGGCTTGAAGAGATGACAGGTGCTTCCTCCTGTGTTGAGAACCAGTGACCCCTGGGAATTGCATTTCCCCTTGAGCAGGAGCCCATGGCGGGCTGAGTCCTGCCAGCGTGCTGGTTGTATGGAAGCCCGCATGGGTACCAGAGAAACCCAGCATTCTCCAGAGGACCTGTGGGCTTCTCATGGGCTTGAGGAGCTCTGAGACTTGACACAGCTCACACAGCTCACACTCACGTGTGGCACATCACCCTCGAGCTGTGTGAGAGTGGCCAGGGCCTCTTGTGCCTGGTCGTTGCTCAGTCCCAGCTGGTTGGCTCGGCACGAAGTGCCCTGCAGCCAGGGGGCCTGCGAGGGCGCGCACGGTGGGGTGACAGAGGTGACAGAGTGCCCCTGTGCCGCAGTGGGAGGATGTGATGACACGCCCCCACCCAGCGGGAACTCGGGCCTTTAAAAGCCGAGGAAACAGCCTCTGAGCAAGCGGTGGCTCCACTGGAGGAAAGCACACCCAGGTCTCACATTAAAGAAGCCAAACTGTCTGCTTCAAAGAGAAAAGGCAACATCCTGTCACAGGCCATGCTCTGGCAGAGACGTAAGTGGTTGGGCCGTGGCTGTCAGAGCCAAGTGAGCACGACGGGGGGTCTGGGGATCACCGGTCGGCCTGGGGGTGGTGATGGGGCCACAGGGTCTGGGTTCCAAGCTGGGGAGTGGGGAGACGGGAGGTGGGCGAGAGGGAGCCCAGTGGAGAAACCAGCCTGTCAGACGTGATGCTGATTTTCCAGACTGGAGGGGAACGAACGAGTGTTCCAAGGTGGGACAGCTCATCGCATCTTCACTTCTGTGCATGAATCACTGTGGTGAAGAAAGAGCAGTTTATGATTCACAGAACAAAAGCCAGATGTGATACGGGTTTGGGGCTGGGAGGGGAACGCTGTGCAGTTGCTGACACGAGGGGCTTTATTTTTATAAGCAGCTACTCTTCAGCTTGTTTAATTCTGTGGGCCTGTTTCTAGCTGAGGGACCTAGCTTCTGCTGGAGGTGTGATTTGTTTGTGTGGATGCGTTGGGAGCAGGTGGAAACCTGGTTCTGTGAAGACGTGGTCTTGCCTCTTGTCATTCTTTTTCCTATTCTATGGCAAGGCTTATGTGTCCCACTGTAAGGGGGCAGCGGGTTTATCTTTGACCTTGGTTTTTATCCCTGGAGTTGGATGGAACAACTGTGAACTTTATTTTCCATGATGTGGACTGAACAGAGACTCTTGTTATTAATAAGTGAAATCATACAGAGATAATCTACAACATTCTGCTCACGAGTTAAACAAAGTCAACACAATGGCCTTAAGAGAGTTGAAGCTTGTTGGAGCTGAGTTCTATACTTCCTCAAGCAAAAAGTATTACCAAAAAATTGCTCTTTCTTTCTTTTAAAGGTGCTTAGTTCTCTAAAATGCCTTTCAATTAATTCAGGTACACCTACGCCAAGCAAACTTAAAATAAGAGAATCTAGACTTACAGAAAAAGGTAAATTAGGAAGTGTTTATTTTATGAAAAGAGATTCTTTTGGATCCCTTACTGTTCTGAAAATATAATTTATTGATTAAAATGTGACATAGTCACTTTATCACTAATTCATTCTTTCTTTTATTTCTTGTGCAAATTCTCTGGAATTGGGCTTGTTACTGTGTAATACAGAGGAGTGATTTCAAAATATCTCAAATTGTGAAGTCGTATCATTGTTTGATATTAGCACGATGCAATTTTTTAAAAAATAAAACAAAATAAACTTTTTTTTTTTGTCTTTTTCGTGACCAGTAAGGGGATCGCAACCCTTGGTGTGGTGTCACCCGTGCCGCACTCAGCCAGTGAGCGCACCGGCCAGTCCTATATAGGATCCGAACCCGCAGTTTTTTTTTTGTCTTTTTCGTGACCAGTAAGGGGATCGCAACCCTTGGTGTGGTGTCACCCGCGCCGCACTCAGCCAGTGAGCGCACCGGCCAGTCCTATATAGGATCCGAACCCGCAGCGGGAGTGTTGCTGCGCTCGCAGCGCCGCACTCTCCCGAGTGCGCCATGGAGCCGGCCCAAAAACAAAATGAACTTTAATTTGGGTTTGAGAGTTACGGACTCTTCCAAGACAATCAGGAATATTCTAGCATGGGTGGTATGCAACTCCTACCAGAAGGAGGATTGAGCAAGACCCTATCCTTTGGGGGACAAATAGCAGCCAACCCCGTTGGGAGTCCTATGTGGATGAGGGCAGGTGGGCATTAATGTCGATACTGGGGGCTTCTAAGCATCCAGGCTTCTAAGCATGTCATTCCTGGTGGCTTCTAAGCCCTTTCACTTAGAGTTGAATCATTTGGGTTTTGTGTGAGCCCCTGGGGGGAGTTTTGCCTCAGCTCCTACCTTCTATGAGCAAGTCACTTTCCTTTTTTCCCTTAGGTTTTTTCATATGTAAAATGGGGATAAAAATAATACCTATTCTGCAGAACTACGCTTAGTAAGCTAAGGTGCCACTGAAATGTTAACTGCTCTGGTTCTGCATCAGCATCTGCGATATGGGTTGCTTCCCTGCATGCACAAGCTGCCAAGTTCTCCCCTCTTGGTTTTGTACTAATCTTTTCTTCTCTAATGCCTCCTAAGAAATGAACTGGTTTTTTTTTTTTTTTGTTTGTTTGTTTTGTTCTATTTTAAAAAAGGGAATGCTGGAGGGCATGCTTCTTGTTTATACCCTGGAGGCTAGCCAGGTATGCAAAACTCCATCATAAGGGAAACCACTTTGTAAGCTCATCAGTGGAATAGCTGGGGTAAATACAGATCAACATTCTTGTTATTTGTCCTTTGGAACCTTAAAGGAAATTAGGAAAGGCCCTGGACACTGAACCCATCCCCTTACCCTGGGCCCAACTATGTGGCACTCAGGGCACCTGGGTGACTAAACCCTGTGGGAAAACCAGTAAAAACAAGGCAGCATCATCAGCCCACTTGGAACCACCCAATGAAAGAGTTTGAAATCAGACACCAAGAGTGCTGAAAAGGCACTTTCTTTTTTCAGAAAACACCCTTGAGGCATGAGCTGAAATGACTGTACTGTGGGGTTCTGGAAAGGGTTAAGAAAACATTCACTTTGTAAATGTTGCCTCCTCCCTGCCTGGCCCATGACCCTTGTTTGTGGATTAAAAGTGAACATGGGCTTTGGTTAAGGTCAGGGAATAGCATGACAAAGCTCAGAGCTGCTGCCACAGAGAAGCGGAAATCTTCAAGCCCCAACCACAGATTTGAGATTTGCTTGACTGGCCAGTTGGATGAAGCCATCACTCCACCTGCAGATTCTCTCCCTGGGTTCTGCCTTTGGTTAGGCTGGTCTCAAGTAGAGGTAGAACTAACGTCCACCCCAACTAGTAACAGTGTAGTTGAAAGAGCATGAGCACTGGATGAGACAGGACTGGGTTTGAAAGTTGGCTCTGCAACTTATTTCACCTTCTTACATTCTTAAAAATCTGAGAAATGGGGATTCTCATGCCTGCCTCGCAAGATTTTTGTGAGAACTAAAGTGATATCAATTTTCCTGATAGGTAGTGATAGTGGACAGTTAGTACCTTCACTTCATGGGCCCATCTTGAGAGATCACAGTTATGCCAAATTTCCTTCCTGTACAGACTTTTCCACATGTTGAATAAAATAGTTAAAAAGCCACAATCAAAATATTCTTGGCTGATAGGATCTTGCAGAGTTTTCCCAGGGTCTAAACCAGGAGTCTGCAAATATGGTCTTTGTGCCAAATCAGGTCTGCTGCCTGTTTTTGTAAATAAAGTTTTATTGGAACACAGTTATGTCTATTCATTTACATATTGTGTAGGTCTGCTTTTGCTACAATGCAAAATGGCAGAGTAGAATAGTTACGACAGACACTGTATAGCACATAAAGACTAAAATATTTACTGTCTGACCTGTTCTAGAAAAAATTTGCCAGTCTTTGGTCTAAGATGATTTGGTTGGTACTTTCGACATTCATTTCTTCAGGTTACTCAGTATCCTGAGGTGACACGATGCCAACACCAGTGGTAGATAAAGCTTGCAGCCAATTAATTAAGTAATTTGTACAATACCAAAAATTAATTTGATTGAACTTCCTCCTTAAAAAGATGGAAGTATGTATAATGAACTCCATACCGTTTGTTAGAAAGTGAATGAACTGGACAGCCTCTTTTTGTTGTTGTTGTTTGTATTAGGGAAAGATCTATATGGTAATAACAGGAAGGCGTGACTGATTTTCTTTGAATTGATTGGTTGTCTCGGTGTCCCATAGACTTGTCCTTGGTGCGTCTTTATTATAGTTCCCAAGGAGGCACCTTAGGAACAGAAAGTAGTTATTTCAAATTATTATGGTGCAGATTTGCCTTTGCTTTCAAACAACTCGATTAGAGCAGCAAAGGTATAGTAAATGGACAAATTAGGGTCTCAAAATTCTCATTAACATAGAACTCTGCTCTTAGGATTTACTTTAGGGGTCCACTAAATAGCCAGCATTTTTAGGGCAGTTAAAACTAAGGAAAATGTGTAATATACATAAAATTTTTGGAACCCTATCTCCTACAAAATATCAGACACACTTACAACATGAAGTAATTTAGGTCTGTGGGCAGTCTCTAATATTTCTATTCTGTGTTACAGCCTTTGCTTATTTAATGAGCCTAACAAACATGTTTACTTCGTATCAAGTTTATCCATCGATTTGGTGATTCTTGCTGTTAAGGACAAATAGAATCCGAAAGAGAGACACGAATTTGCATGCACTTTCTGTAAGGGAAATAAGGGGAACACATATACCAAGGACACAGATTTAATTGCTAAAAGAGCAGATGATTTTCATGGTGAATACTTTATTTCCTTCTCTCTCTATTTTCTAAAGAAAAATGCCAAGTTAGTCCCCCACTACACCCCAAAAGTTACTGAGTCAGAAGTTTGAGAGAAGTTTTCACACTTGCAAATCTGTTCTTTTGTGTGGGGGTGGGGTGGGGGGGAACCAGTCAAGGTTGGCCACATTTGTTCATTAAACGTATGGACATTTATTTCACTAAGATGCCCTGTAAATATTTTCTTTTAAATTTCCCATTACAAAGTATGCGTATCAGGTTTTTTCCCTTCTGACTTCTTTCTAAAGGAGTTTATTTTCCCACTGAGTGAAGATGTCCACCAATTTCTCATTCTGAGCCAACCAACCAAATCAAAATTGGCTAATTGATTATTATCATTAACATAATTTTCACCTTTGTGACATACTTAGCAACACTCTAGTTTTCTCATTTTTGTAGAATAACTGTTTGGAAAGGATGGGCCAGCCTGGAATGTAGGGGCCTTCTCTGAAACCCCCTTGTCCTGGCTGTGTGATCTGTGGATGAGGCATTTCTCTTGCAGGCAGGAGACAGGGATTCTATTTTCCACTCGACAGATAATTAGGTGGGGTCTCAGGCAAGCCACCTAACCACTCTGGGTCTCAAATGTTCCAGCCGTGAAATGGAACTTGTCTTTTTCTGACTGAGAGCAAGGAGGTGGAACTTGATTGAGGTTTTTTTCCAGCTCTAATTGCTGAATTT